GGTTACGTCATTTAGCTGGCTGCAGCTTTGTTTTGATTTCTACGATCGGACTACGAACGATAGCGACAAATAAACAGTGCCAAAAATGCTCCTATTTTGTAATAAATTGCACTATTTTGGAAACGAGGCCTGTTTAAGGCGGGTTCGGCCGCCAACCACATAGGGTGTGCCTGTTTTGGGGCATACCTGTATAACTGTAACTATAGTCATGTCTCATTCGCATTTTCCGGCCACTTTGTCAGGGTGCCAATAATTACGCCAAACACTGTTTTACTTCTTCCATCTTTCCCGGATTCGGGTTTAGGGTTGGGATTTCATAGAAGCTCGAGGGCAAAAATTCATAAAAACACTTCATAAAAGCTTAAATGCGTGTTAAACAAGGAGCATCAAATAGGTCTGGTCCTACTTAAAATTTAGCCATTATGCGAAAGTCAAAATGTGTATAAAGATGGACATAAAAGCCAGATGTTATTTCTTTGTCCAACTCATTACTAATGGGTACCGTATTTTAATATTATATATTTTGTATTAATGTCAAATAGGCCTATATGCATTTTTATTTAAATTTGTATCCAATTCGTATACTAGTACTGTATATCTGCGAACTGCAGTATGTTAAATTAATTTACCCTAAATTAATGTTGTTGAATTTTGTTGATTTTGTTATATATATTCTATTATTATTCATATATATTTATATAATCATCATTAATCACCGTCCTCATTATCAAATGTCATCATCTCGTCTTCATTGCCACTACTATTACCATCACCACACTTAAGAAATATGACATCATGTCCATTATATCGCAGATCTGTCACAGAAAATGTTATCCTCTAAATCTTTCCCTGTAACCTGAATCATGTCTGCTCTGAGAGACGTTTATACGTTTATACGTTTAGGAAAACACAATAACAGTCAGTGTACACTATTATTATAGAGGGTGACCCCGAATATTACGCCTATATAATATTGACCTTCCAACTTGATCTCTTGAACTCTTATTCAACCACCACAATAGGCTAGGCCTACCATCGGAGTGTACAGTAACTAATACCGGATAGGCCTATTTTTGCTTTTACTGGACTACTCTTAAAAAGATGATTAATTTGATCCGTTCGATCTTGGAATCGACACTGCTCTACGAGAAAGACAATATTCCTCACTACAGTAATTGCTGACATTGAGAGATACGGCTGGAACGTAGATATAACCTGTCTCTTATACACATCTAGATGTGTATAAGAGACAGATACGGTACGTTTCAAAAGTTAACTGACCCTAACAGTTAGGCTCAACAATAAACCGACCCATTGCATCTTTTATTCAGACACGACCTTGCCTTTTATATGTTTTACTTTTATCATAGCCGTCGGAAGCATTTTGAAAGTGGTCCGGTCGTTTGGGGACGGGGGAGGGGAGTGGGCGCTTAAAACATTTGGTTTTGATATTGCCACCCCATTCTACGGATAATTGATTTAAAGTTAGTGGGGTCTGAGCATATCCACCCCCCCCCACCCCCTGCCCTCACCATGGAGTGTAGGTACAACTTTGATGCTGACAGCCTGTATAGCCGGTACCATTCTCTCTTAGGAGACAGCCACAAGATAGTACGGTATGACTCAAGACATAGTTATTAACCGTCTCGCATTGTGCGGGACGGTCCCGCCTTTCAAAGTGATTTTGGTTGAAACACGCATTTTGCAGAAACATATGCGTGATCATAAATTTGGCACGCATCAGCACAGGTCTTATGCGTGATAACGAATTATCACGAATTCAGGTGAAATGTATTTAAAATTAGGAGTTGGCTTTATATTAAAATATAAAAACGGTCATGCAGTAACTTAAGTGATTAAAAAGTATTTACGTGAATACTTAATTCACTGACGCGTTACAAATATCGATCAGTGCGGCCTATGCATTTTTTGTTTGTTTAAGTAATGAAATGTTTACGGTACATTATAGTTTGGGTACTCAAATTAAACGTAATGTACATTAAAACTCAAATTGTACGTGGCTCTATTAAAAACAAACACTCCTTGAAATCGTTTTAGAACAGCTTAAAGATGCTCAAATCGTCCTGGACAGTGGCGTATCTATAGGGCTCTTGGG